GTGTTTGTGTGTGTGTGTGTGTTTGTGTGTGTTTGTGTGTGTTCCTGTTACTATATACACTCTCAGGTGTTTCTTTGCTTCGTCGTATGGGTGTGGTATCGAAAGTGAAGATCTATGTGTGCACATTCGGCTCTTTAAGCCCCATTTTTCCAAGCTCAGTACATAGTTGTATGACTCTTATAAAAGTTATAAGTTATATAATGGATTTTCACATTTGATTTGGACCAGATTACAAGAGTTGATGGGCATGCCTCAGACAGAGGAAAGTCGCAAATCAACAGACATCGCACTGACAACACTTGTGGTGAGTCTATATTCGCCGTGTGGATCGGTGTCTGTACATTTCAGTCTGTATATCAGTATGTTTGTTCGATCGTGGATGAGATGTTCCAGTATGTCTTGTTATCGTAACGGTCGGTTCAACTTTGTGTGTTATTGTTTGACCTACGTATAACCCACTTCTTCTACGGAACGACGACGTATCTTTTATTTGTGTTAGGGTAAACATCGTTTGCCGCACTTCTAAGCATATTCCTTTCTAGCACTCTGCTGTTATATACTGTACGTGTGCAATGGTGCTTGTGTAGATGGTGTATACTTGGTGCACTTTCGTTCGAGCTGGCTTCTAGATATACTACGACTGTTGACCTGGCATGATAATTCAAGCGGAGTTGATTAAATTGTCAGAATCATCATATGCTCCATTAAGCGTGTCTATGATCATACCTTTATATTTATGCCTGAGTTCTCCGCCTTGAACTTACCTTCTACCCGGTTCCCATTATTAGCTTCTTTGCAGTAGCCTACTGCAGGCCAATTTCTTATATGTTGTAATAAACTTAATGTGGTTTGCTGAAGCAAAGCTTATCTTAAGCGTCCGCTGTACTTTGTCGACTGAGATGGTCTCATAGCAATCATATGCAGATTTTTCAAAGTTTTTTTTTTTGCCTCCCGCATTTTGAACAGGCGTTAGCTGAAGGCTGCCATTAGTGACCAGCAGATGTAATGTGCCCTCCGAAGTACGTAAAACAAAGTCGAGTAAACGGAGCTGTCATAAATGGCATATTGCAAAAGCATTGTGTTGCAAATATTAAATGGATTAACCAAAGGGACTGATGATTATAACAATTTCCGGAGAGTGGATTTCACTCGACTATTGAAATCAGGCAACAAGCCTTGAACCCGCTGGAAGTTCGAAAAGGGATTTCGAGTTCAAAGAAACCTCTTATAGAATTCATATCATATCAAGATGTCGCATATTATCCTCGGTATTTATGTTATGTACTGTGTTGATAAACAAAGTTTCAATTGCCAAGAATATACTTTCCGGATCCAACAACGCATGGTAGGGTAATAAAACTCGTTTTGGGGAAGAATTTTTGCTTCTTTTTTGGAAAAAAAATGTGATTGTTCCGCGCCTAATGAACTATTCATACAAGGCTGAACACTATTGTATTTAAAAATGATATCCACGTCATAGCCTTCCATCATTCTCGGAAGAGGAAAAATATAGGCGAAATCCACGAATCGAACGTGAGGCCTGCCGCACCCAAAGCGGCAATCATACCACTAGACCAATTTCGCTTGATGTAGTATAATTTATTATTTATATAATATGATGTGTAAATGTACGAATCGGACCTGACCATCAATTCGAATAAAGCAGGCATTTATATCGGACCTGCGATAAACGAACGAGAAACGTGGTGTGTGAGTCACAACCTATGCGGAAAGACATCATGTGATGAGCGTGAGATTTCGTGCAGAGAAGATGAAATAGAATAGCATCGAAGTGTTAAAGTGTTCTGCATAAGCATAAGGTTTCTCATACTGACCGTATGAGTTTTTACCCTGGCCAGCCCAAGCGGCTCAACACTAGCACAAACACCTTAGGTATAAAACCAAAGGTGAGGTCAGAAATAAATACATACATTTGCACTTTACTTGCAGTCCCCCACGTCTCACCCTAACAATTTTTTCATTCACTGCCAATTTCGATATATATCACTGCAGAAGTGTCTCCTTACTGCAGAATGAAAATGGAAATCTACACACCACTTCCGTGACGTCAATATTTTTTACGCTGTAATAGTGGCTGTATTTGTTTTGCTGAAAAATTAGAAATTCGCTAGATACCAAATTGTTTGCTGCGAGTCCCAGCCATAGTGTACGAGTGGCTAGCACCCGACATGCATTCAAATCTAACACTATATTACTGTCCGGGGAGCACACATATTAAGCACTCATCTTTGACGATTCAACGCAATGAGTAATATACTACAGTGGTCTCGATCATCAGTGAGCTCGATGTATACCAGAGCATTGGGGCAGAGGATAATGGCGTCTACGTATGCATCTATCTGTCTTTTTCCCCCTCGCCATCGCACACGCAATAAATATTGTTCTAGCTATGTCATGTCTCATCAACCCAGTTGTAGCTGTTTTATGTACAGCACTTCTCACGTAACCTTCCTTGTGCAATCTGAAATTTATCAGAATATAGTATTCTACGTATGTAAACCTAAACAGTTTGTGGGTTCGCAATAATTTCTTCCACAACTGTCTTAGGATTACTAAATAGGAATTGGGTTCTCTCACTGGTGTGCACTGAGTGGTGATACATCCGTTCAATTAGATCTATACATCAACTCATTGTGTCCATAGCGCCCATTATTGATTGTTCTGTGACTATCTTTTTAGACGAATAGACTTTTGCTAGTAATAAGTCAGTGTGGTGAGAGGGGATTATACCGCCAAATGTAGGTGTACTATGTCATTATTTCTAGTAAGTAAAGAGAACTGCCAGCACCACAGAAAATGCAACCAATCTGAAGTTTCTGCTGCATATCCGGTACCTCGAATGCTCGTTTGCTCTCGGGGTTGCTCTCAATTTGCGTACTTCTTCTTCTTTACTTTTTTTATATCGTTTACCTTGTCTGACTTTGTAGGGTTACCGCGACAGCCAATCGGCAAGACCGAATTTCAATACACACGCATTGTGGCATATAGCAAGATATTGCTTTCTTCTTGAGTGCTAGCGTGTTTGAACGTGTATGTGTTGTATTGCCTTATTGGCTAGCTTCAAGTTTGTGATAAGTTAATAGATTGAAATTCCTAAAAACGCCTTCGGATGTTATTGCCCTCAAAAGTGTGTCACTAGGCTTCCAATTAAAAATTCCCTGAGTGTAACCAATCAATACATGCTTCCTTTAGCCGCAGAAATGCATTCAGAGTAGATCGATAGTCGCTCTTTCTAAAGCCCATTCCTTTGTTCACACGTGCTAGGTTGGCTATTAAATACTCTTCTATATTGACGTGTCATACTTTTAGCTAAGCGCCACGAATGCTATTTATCTAAACATCTACAACAAGAGACATACCGCGTGTGCACACATCCGAGATTACAGCAAAAACTGCTCGATTAAGGGTTGTGTGATGCGTTCCAAAGTGAAGTGGAAGACTAAAGAAATAGTGCAACATTGTGTTTACATCCACCGTTTATTTTAAATATAAAACAATTTATGAATTGTGCGATTTTGTAGTATGTGCGGGCTGCTTAGAGCTGCCGCCTCCTTTTTTAAATGACCCAATGAATACATTGGTACGATTGCATACTTATAATCTAGTAGCAAATCGTACGTTTTAACAAGAAAAGGAGATCCTGCGTCTGATATAGTCCAAGTAAACAACAGCCAATCAAAACTACAATCAACAAGATATTGCATAGCATATATGACTAATATACCTTTGTCCAATCACCCCATGGCCTCGTGGTAGTAAACGATGTTGACCATGCGTAAAAACTCATACGTAAATATGTCGTACAAATATCGCTGCGAGGTAGCTATATGGTATCTCACCCCGATTAAATAATGAACTTTAGCCAATTGTTTAGTATTGATATATCCATACCTTTTTCATAATATAAAACCGCTAATATCAATCTATATAGTTGAGCAATGACATATATACAAATACTATGATACGAATAACCGACAGTAATGTGATACTAGTAAAATTTACTTAGAGAGTGTACCAAATACAAAAGATTAAGAAACCTCTGCTGCAGAATCCGACACATGATTTTACATGCTGCTGATTTTTTTTATCTTGCCCTGTGTTTCATGAGAAAATTGGTACTATCAATGAGTAAATGAAAGATGTGATTTCAATATATTACGATGTCCAATCTAGCCCTTGCAAGATTTCTCAATCGAAGCAGAATCCAGAAGTTCTGAATACCTTTGAAATTAAATCGTCAACCAGGAGCATGAAGTACTTCGCCATCGAAAGTTTAGAAAGTAAAACATTGCTTACAAGTTGTACGGCAATTGGAATTACGATGCGTCGAAAGATGGGGTTGCTTACTACGAAAAGTGATCGCAGTTGATTGATAAGATTTAAAATGCTAAATCATATCGAGCAAAAGGAAGCTGTCGTAAATTTACGTATTTATCGAAATTCACTACCATCTCTGCGTGATTTTTTTTAGATCATATTCGGGACCATATACCACGAAGATTTCTTTGCTCTACTTTGAAAGTCCGGTTGCCAGAACATATACACGCAAAGTACTATCAACAATAAATGCCTGGAAACTTACATGCTTACGGAGGGTTTCGATTCATCTACTAACATATCTCCCAACAACATGCATGCTGGATTCACTATTCACGATACTACCTTTCTTATTGTACTCAACAGACATAAGATATACAGTCACCATTGCATATATCGCCCTTGGTTAATAGTCATTTGCAGGTATACCCGACTATATACTCGTTAGCTACAAAACCAGTTGACAACATTATTTTGACCCAAGTGAAATCGTCGTGTGTATCTGACAGTAAGGAAGTATGGCAAATGTATTGGAGCACGAGGTAAAGGGTTTTGATGATCTTATTTATTTTTAAATCATTTATAATTAAAAACTGAAGAGGAAATCACATATCAAGAGCCGGTATACGTTTGTGTTTATGCGGACAAAGTTCTTTATAAGTATCATCCTCGAGATGACTCCAGCTCTCGACATATTATGTCGAGGATCATAAATGTCGAGGATGGCCAAGCTGAGAGTATATGGAAGTGCAGGTTTGCAAAATTAAGTTTTGCACGCTGGATTAGACAAACTACATCATTCAGATTGAACTTGTTTCCACTCAAGTTGCACAACATACCATATCGTGTTCGGTTTGCTTTGTGAGCACTGTAAGTGAAGAATATTCCTTGTCCAGTTACCGCTTACGGATTTCGAGGAAGGCCAAGCTAAGAGTATATGAAAGTGCAGGTCTGCAAAATTAAGTTTTGCTCGCTGGATTAGTCAAACTACATCATTCAGATTGAACTTGTCTCCACTCAAGTTGCACAACATACCATATCGTGTTCAGTTTGCTTTGTGAGCACTGTAAGTGAAGAATATTCCTCCCACTCTGCTGAAATGCTCGAGTACCAACCTTGATAAAACACTCACTGGTACGTGTTGAATTAAGATCAACTGAAGTTTCGCCAATCACCTTCTATAACGTTGTTGCTTTCCTTTCTGCGCGGTTTTTCCTACCGCTTGCGTTTCTTTTTTGGCAAACGGTCCCTAGTATGATTGATACAATAGATGATAAAAGCAGCTTTGTGTTTATTTTTTTCAAATTGAGCCTGTTGGCAGGTTGTAAACAACGAGCTTCGTATTATAATTACAATCGCTCGGTTCAAACGCATCCTTATGGCCTCATAAATTATGTATCAACCTAAATATCGCACACCTTTACGCCTCGGTGCACTGCGACCCTTTTTATTGCAATTGGTCAGTGAAGCACTTTCGGTTGAAAGTGTCGCTGTTGTCTAAGTTCGCTTCTTTTAAGCATAGTATTTCGGTGACAACTCAAGCAATGACTTGTAGTCTTTATGGCAAATTCATTGCAACCTTGCTCAGTCCATATCATATTGCAAAAGTACAGTCAAATCGCATCAGAAGAACCCTTGGGCGCTGTAAGGACTGCTTCAGCTATGCTATTTTTGTTGACTATACAAGAAAAAAAGTACCGGTAAAACATATACCAAGTGTGTTTTGTTTAAGTCCATAACAAACTTAGAAATGAGACATTCTTTAAGCTATTTACTTATAATGTATTTGTGAATTTTCTGATTGTTTTTGCTGTATATATGCCCAGGCGAACGCCATTATCCATATTTAAACAGAATGTATAAGCAA